CAACCCAGTTGACTCAGCCCCACTATGGCCCAGATTTGGCACCCTGTGACTTCTGGCTTTTTCCAAAATTAGAATCACCTTTGAAAGGGAAGGGATTTCAGAACTTCGATGAGATTCAGGGAAATACAACAGGTAAGATGATGGAGACTGGGAGAACTGTGTGAGGTCCCAAGGTGCCTACTTTGAAGGGGACTGAGATGTCAGTGTCCTTTGTACAATGTTTCTTATATCTTGTATTTTCTTTGATGAATGTTTCTATTTTTCATAGTACATGGCTGTATACTTTCAGGACAGGCCTCATCGTGTATGTTGTTTTTGTTTTTTGCTTAATCCCTCCACCTTCTGTCATCAAGTCCCCCAAACCCCCACCCACTCTGATCACTGTTGGTCTGTTCCATGTCTTTGTTTCTATTTTGTTCATCAGTTTAGTTGTTCATTAGATTCCACATATAAGTGAGGTAATGTGGTATTTGTCTTTCTCTGACTGGCTTATTTCACTTAGATTAATAATCTTAAGGTTCATCCATGCTGTCACAAAAGGTAATGTGTCCTTTTTCTTTTTACAGCAGAATAGTATTCCATTGTGTAAATGCACCACAGCCTTTTTATCCACTCATCTACTAATGGGCACTTGGTCTGTTTCCAGATCTTTACTATTGTAAATAATGCTGGAACTAACATAGGGGGGCATATATTGTTTTAAATTAGTGTTTTGGGTTTCTTTGGATATATTTCCAGAATTGAGACCACTGTATCTAAAGGCAGTTCCATTTTAAAATTTTGAGGGAACTTCATACTGTTTTCCACAGTGGCTCCACCAATCTGCATTCCTACCAAGTGCACGAGGGTTCACTTTTCTTCACATCCTCACCAACACCTGTTTGTTGATCTGTTGATGATAGCCATTCTGACAGGTGTGAGGTGATATCTATTGTAGTTTTAATTTACATTTCTCTGATTATTAGTGACGCTGAGCACTTTTTTCATATGTTTATTTTACACCTGTATGTCCTCTTTGGAGAAGTGTCTATTCAGGTCCTTTGCCCATTTTTAAATTGGATTGTTTTGGTTTTGGGGTTTTTTTGTTTGTTTGTCTGTTTGTTTGGTGTTGAGTTGTATGAGTTCTTTATATAGAAAATATAAATAGGAGTTTTTAAAAGCACTCCTTCCTCTTATAGAAAGGAAAATATTTGCTATGATTCCTCAGAATGGTCTCCTTTTTTGAAGTACCATATATCTTTATGTATTTAGTGATTGTTTTTTCCTATTTATTCATATTTACAAGGGGTTGTTTATGTTTGCTATGTTGGAATTTGAGAAGGGTTCTGTGAGAACTTGTGTAAGCTCCTTTTCAATTATCTTGGTCATAGCATATTTGCTAGGTAAGTGATCCATATGACTTTGAGTAGTAGGGACAGGCTATTGTTGTGACAGCTACATGGCAGTGAAGGTCCTTCCTTTTCCGAGGACATTTATTCTTTCCATGTGGGAAGAGTGGTAGAGCCAGAGCACCAGATGTCAGTGAACAGTGAAGAAAGAGCACCCAGGCCAGTGGAGTTTATTAGTAAGTCAAGTGGCCCAGTGGGCTATATTATTAGTGAGTCAAGTAACTGGATTTTACCCCTCTCATATTTGTTATAATACTTTGTGTTAGATGTGTTTCCTGTTAGTTGGAGCAAATCCCCTTCATAGCACCCATTCCCCATATCTTTGCTTTGACTACCATGACACTTCACCAGGTGGATGCTGAGGATCAACATAACAGATGGCTGCCTTGTGTGTGTATGCGGCATTGATAGAATTCTGTTATCCCTAGTATTTGTATTTGATCAACGATCTCAGTTATTAGTTGTTGGTATTTTATTGTCCTGGTCCCTGCTGCTTTGGGCTTGATTTTCCAGATATGTAGGAGAATGTTATTCACTTACTCCTTCAGAGGGCTCCTCCTTTGCTGTGTTCAGCTGCACACTAGTAGGTACCTCCTTGGCCAATCTTGCCTGTACCATATCTAACAGAAATCTCCCAAAGTGTCTGGTTATTGATGTAATCCTTCTCTATTTAACAGAGATTGATTAAAAAAAAAACTCCCCTAATCGTGTATTTCTTAGGTCATGCCAATAGGTTTGGGGACGGAAGAATTTAAATTCATGAACTCAAACAGTGCTTTTGAAAAGAAACTCCTATGCCATCCTCTCTATTGGTCAAAGAGATAAATGGATTTATCTGTAGGAAATGCTCTCATAAAATCTGGATGTATTGTTTCCTCTTTTTCCTTACCTACCAGATGTTTCTGTTTTTGTAACAGATGATTCAACGCGAGTTCCTCTAGGAGAAAACAAAGACTATATTAATGCTAGTTATATAAGAATAACCAATTCTGGAGAAGAATATTTTTATATTGCTACCCAAGGACCACTGCCAGATACCACAGATGACTTTTGGCAAATGGTTTTGGAAAATAATTCTAATGTCATTGTCATGATAACCAGAGAGATTGAAAATGGAATTACCAAATGCCACTGTTACTGGCCCATTTCTATGAAGAAGCCTTTGGAATTGAAAAACTGTCGAATTTTCCTGGAAAACTACCAGATACTTCAATATTTCATCATTCGAATATTTCAGGTTGTGAGGAAGTCTGTAAGTTCTTAAAAATCAGTATCAGATATACATTTCATTATCCAAGCACACGTGCCATGACAAGAAGTTCGGAGTAGGATAGGATATAGACTGGGCATACTTTTTAAATAACTTATTTTTTAATTTTCTCTGGTACCGGAAACTAAGACACTACCACTTCTACTTGGGCTTAACCAAACTCTGGCTGGAAAGAGGAAAAATTGAAAAGGGTAGATGGGGCAAGGAGAACAAGTATTGGAAGTTGCCTAGTCCTGGGAGGTACTTTGGCTGCTTCTTCCAAGTGAGACAGATATGTATTAGATTCTTAAGGTGTGCTAATCACTGTGCCAGGCACTATTACTGTTAACTGAGTAGTGGAGAGTTTGGTATGCTCACTGATACTTCCTTCCAGGAACTGTGCTCAGTGGTAATATTAAGATCTGTACGGAGGGTTTGGGGGTTTGGAAGGGAAGTACTTAACATTACTTGGGGTTTTGAGGAAGGTTTGCTGGAGGAGGTAACATCTGGTTTAAGAATTTCCCAAATAAGAAAGATGGAAAGAGGAAGTAGATGAAGCTAAGAGGTGTAAAACTCAAAAGGAAGAGGGAGTTTGTTCAAGAAGGACTAGTGAATTGGAAACAGGAGTGGGCAACAAGCAGTATGTAAACTAATCTCTGTGCTCTGTGGTACCTGGGACAAAGAAGAACAGGTAGCCTTGATCAAAAAAGCCTGTAGAGAGTAAAGTGCCTGTGGAGGCAAGGCAAGGAAATGGAAGAAACATTTAGGGAGGTGATTAGTGTGTTCACAAGATTACTGTGGGGTGGGGGACCTGAGTGCAAAGGGAGAAGTTGAAGAGATAGATGAGTAGAAAAGGATGGGAAAATATAAACTTGAGGAGCATGAGGAGAGCCAGAGCCCAAGCTGGGGAACAGGAATGTCAAGAATAATAATGGCTGACATAGATACAGAGCTTGCTGGCTGTGTGCTGGGCACTGTGCTTGCTTTGTGTACCTGGGGATTTGCCTGATCTTTTATTTCACTAATACCTGATGATTCCTTCCTATTAACCAGGTATTGTGTCAGGTGCTGGAGATATGAAACAGATACAGTCTTAGCTCTTAGAGCACTTACAGTATCATGTGGAAGGAAGACACCAAGCACATCAATTCCAAATGTCATGTGATACATGCTATGGCAGGTGGACAATGTGCTTGGAGAATATAGGCCAGGTGGGAGGCACAGATGAATGATCTGTCTGCAAGGACTCAAATTCTGGGGTCCACATATGGAGTCTTGGCAAGGGGGTAAAGGACAGTGGCCTTTGGGCTGAGGCCCACAAGCCTCAGAACCATGTGGTTCATGTTTGGAGAATCTGAATCAGTGATTCTGTCTTCATGGCACAGGATCAGGAAAGCAGTGAGGTGAGGTCCACCTTTTTGCAGACTCTCAGTGCCCAACAGTAGCAAGAGAGATTTAATCCCTGAAATATGCAATAGGGTGAGAGTTATCCTAAACTTCATGCCTTCACAGGATTTTCAAGTATTGTTTTCATCACTGAATTTCATGTACTAATGATTCAGACTTGGGTTTTCTATTTTGGACTTAGGGAAAACAGATGCATTAGATGGGAGCAAAAGAAGGGTGAGAAACCCTTCCTGGGTTTTTCCAGAAGGGTCCTCAGTGAAGTAAAATAAGGACTTCAAATTGAGAAAAGGGTGACCCCTTTGGAAGGAATAATGGGTAAATTCTAAATGTTTTATTTGTTAACCTTGAGGAAGGTTTCATGACTCCACTTCCAGGAGGCTCAGCATAAGAATGTGGGCCACAGTCCACTCACATGGCCATGAGCCACCCTATCCTCATTGCCAGAGAAGATTGGTGCCCCTAGTCAAACAACTTGATAGCTCCTACCTGTTTTAATTATATTTAGTATCATAACATTTAAGCTAAGATAGATGGATTCTTGTTTTTTCTTCAGCCTCATGGTGCAGAAGGAAGGTAGCTGATTTGGGTTCAGGAGGCCTGAATGACAACCCCAGCTATAAACACATGAGCCTTCTGACCTAGCATGCATCTCTCAATCATTCTAATCCTTACCTTTTTATCTGTAACATGAGGATTAAATGCATGCAGTGCCACCTCCCAGGATCGATGTGAGGATTAAGAGATAATTCATGTGAAGTTCCTAGCTGTCAATTTGTGTTACCTGTTAGCATTCATATTTTTATTATTGTTACCGTATAGCCATTATTATCATCATTACTGGTATATTAGAAACTGAAATGAAATCTCTAATATAAAAGGTTGATAAATCTCTCTTCTCTTTCCCCCCTTCTTCATTCTCTCTCCCTCTCTCCCACTCTCTTTCCCTTTTTCAACAGACGGGAGTGAGTCACTTCATAAAACAGTTGCAGTTCACCAACTGGCCAGACCACAGCACTCCTGCCTCAGTAGATGGTTTTATCAAATATGTTCGTTTTGTGAGGAAGAGCCACCTTACAGGACCCATCATTGTTCACTGCAGTGCTGGCGTGGGACGGACGGGGGTGTTCCTATGTGTGGATGTTGTATTCTGTGCCATTGAAAAGAACTTTTCAGTAAGTGTGTGAATTAAGCAGATAAATCCATGTTAGCAAATGCTTTACTTTTAACAGGCTTCTAATAGCTGAAGACTAATAGTTGGCCTTCAAGAGCAACTTAGTAAATAGACGAGAGCTTTGGGTACCTGCTTCTTACTTGATTGCTGCAGGTTCCTGGAGGTGATTGTGAGAGTTAAAGTATATAATGCAAATGAATGGCTTAGTACACAGTAAATGGGAGTTCATTTTCTTTTTTTTCTGTCCCCGACTCCACAGATACAGTTCTTACAATCTTGTTAGAGAATATTGATAAAGTGTACCTATTTTTAATGAACAGAAATACATGCATATGAGCACACTGGAAAAATGAAGACTTCAGAGAATGAGAGGTTCCCTGGGTTTGACTGCCAGTTTTGCCACATGCTCTAGATTTTTAGTGACTTCGTGTAAATTGTTCATCCTTTCAGAAACTCAATTTTCTCATATGAAAAAATATGGAAAATATTGTTCAGTTTGAGTCCATTTTTTTGCAATTCTTTGCTCATCTTTTAATTTAGAACAAACTAAGAGATAGACACAAGTATTAGACATATGGTGATTACACTATAACCTTTATCATTGATTAATCTGAACAAGGAATGTGAATGTAGATCTGTGGTCAAAGAGGCTTACTCACCAAAATGTTTTCCTGTGCTGCACAGTGAGGAGGCACTGGGGGGAAGTGATTCTTACCATAAATAACCACAAGAAATATGCAAATACCCATCTCAGTCTTGAGTAAACAGGAGCTATGAGGCGTTTTCCCTGGTAGAGAAATTCTGTGGAGTTCTGTTGTCAGAACAAATGTCAGACTCTCCTCTTTCAGACTTTACATAGTTACACCCCGACAGTGACAGGCTTTCCCAGTGTCAGCAAATGGCTGCATGGGTTCTATGGAACTCACCATCCTCAGGCCATATCATATGGGATGGTAGACAAACGGCCTCTCCTAGTAACTCCTGAAGGACAGAGGAAATTTCCCTTTCAGAATCTTGAGCTGAGTGTTTCCTAGTATTTCACTGTTTCCCTCTGAGTTATATGCTCTTCCCTGAAGTAGTCACTGTGGGAGATGCTGGTCAATGTACACCAGTCAAGACTACTCCAGGCCATAAGGTAGAAAATGAGAGAGGAGTGGTTTTCCAGAGCAAATTCAGGGCTTTATTACAAAGAATAAACATAAACTGGGTGGCCAAACATAAAAAAGACAAATGCTGTCAAAAATGCAAAAAATTTGAGTCTGATGTTACCTATTCCCATAACTAATGTTCTCTTGTCCTTTTAGCAGAAATTGCATTAGTACAATTTTTTATATGTTGTTCATCATAATTTCTTAAGTAGTTTGTTTATATTAATATTTACCTTTATTTTATATCCCTTATAGAAACTATTCATGGTCCTAAGGAGCACTGTTTTTTCTCCACTTATACCTTCTTTAAACTCTAAATGTGTTTTATAGTAAGTCATCTGACAGTTTAATTGACAGTATTTTTCTTTGTGGTACATAAAAGGATGCATTTTACAATCAAGGATGCTTAGTTTTATGAAACAGTGGTTCAAAAATAGGAAACACATTCATTTTTTCCTTACTGGTTTTCTAATAGAGCCTTAAACTGTCAAATATTTTTAGTGATGCCCCTCTCTACTCTTCAGAAATTTTGTTCATCAGAGCTATTCAAAATGTGATCTTGGACCAGTATCAGTCTGTGGATGTTTGTTATCTGCCACCAGATAAGTTTACAGAAATTGAGAGGAAGCATTTAGAAACACTCGAGGCAGTCTGATGCATTGCCATACCATCCAAGAGCATGCCCGGTGTGCTGGTGGTGCTGAGCAGCCATAGACCAGTGTGCATGCTGTGGAACTCACATGGGGAAGTCTCACATGCTACAAGCTACATACCAGCCTAATTATGACTCTAAAGGATATGAAAATCTGAGAATATGTAACTATCGATTTCTTTTCATTATTATTTTTATAGCCATTTTCATTTTTAACCAAGGCTGCTTAAAAATCCCTGAAACTTTGGAAATATTGAGACTGCTCATTGTATACAGAACTCCCCCTTCTCACCATCTGCAGCATGCAGTAACAGTTGTTAATTGTCAATTACCATATGATCACATAATGAAGTGAGTAATCCAAATTCTTACTATACCACTCATTAAGCACACAGTTTAGTTCATCAGGCAGGTTTGTTTATTTTTTTTAAAAATCTGTGTAACTACCTTAGACTGTTCTAGTCACTGCAGCTCTATCTACTACCTGAACATAATCCTATACAAAACAAAAACTCCAAATTATATTTGTTGACAATGTATAGTTACTACTTTGCATTTTTATACAGTTTAGAACTAGTTGCGTTTTTCAGTAATCAAACTGTAAAAAGGAATTCTTCCTTCGTATCTCATCATGTTCAAATCACATATATACTGAAAGAATCACTAAGTAAGCAATATCTATGCACCATTAAGTTTCAGTGGTAAATAAATTGCTACTCTTATTTCATAAATTAGTACCACTCCATTTCATTAACCAGTCCCTGAATTCATCAAGCTGGGGTGCCATTAGAAAATGATACTTTAACTCCTTTTTTTGCCACATACAGTGGTGGGCAAAAGTAGGTTAATAATAATACAGTAATTAATAAATAATAATACAAGAGTAAACTGTTTCTTGTTTTCACAACTGTAAACCTACTTTTGCTCATCCTTGTATTTACCCAGCATTTTCAAGAAAATGTCTCTAATATAGCATTTTACCATTGTCTTGGCAATTGTATATGGGTCTTTAGTCTTAGTACTTCAAAGTGCTATTTTCTAAGTTTCTAGAGGATTAAAGTTATGTGATATATTGAACATTAGTTTCTGTTGGCTTTTTAATTTAATATTCTTTAAAATAATTCTTTCATCGTTGAAATTGTTTTGTGTACATGACAAGTAATACTAATGGTTGCTTTGCTTTGTTAGGTAGTACATCATTGCAATTAACACAAGTGTGGTTTTAGCAATTCACAATCAAAAATGGCTATAAAACTCATTATGTAAGGAATCATAATTCCAGGTAAAATTAACATGAACTTTTTGGGTCTTCACTTCTCTGCAGTTATTTTTATCATCACCATTTGGTTAATCACTACAGCTGCATTTGGAAAGCTGTGTCTTTTCTTAACAAGACAGTCCAGTGAAGCTTGTTTTGCCATTAGTAAATTGAGGTTAAATAGATACGAATTTATTTCCACAATTTGTCTAATCTTAAATTATAAATTTAAAAAACAAGTTTTCAAAGAAGCAATGGTTTTAAAATTCAGTGAGGTTTTGTTTTATCAATATTTCCTTTGGTAGATCAAGCTTTTGTGTCAAGCCCAAGTATTCATCCCTCCCTTCTTTCCTCCCTTCTTACAAATGTTCAATTGCTTTAGCACCATTTGTTGAAAAGGCTGTTCCTTCATGAACTGAGTTTGCACCTTTGTCACAAATCATTGGGCATGTTTGTATGGGCCTTTTTCTGGTTCTGTAATCTATTCAATTAGTCTATATGTCTGTTCTTTTGCCGATACTACACTTTGGATTACAGTAGTTATATTGTAAGTCCTAACATCAGGTAGAGTGATTCCTCTCACATTATTCTTTTTTGAAATTGTTTTAATGATTATAGGATCTGTGCCTTCCCATATAAATTTTAGAATTAGCTTGACTCTGTCTGCAAAAAACCTTGCAGGGATTTTTTTATAGGAATTGCTTAAAATCTAGATCAATTTGGAGAGAATTGACATCTTTACTACGTTGACTCTTTTAATCCATGAATATGATATTTCTCCTCATTTATCTAGGTCTTCTTTGATTTCTTTCATTAGCATTTTGTAATTTTTAGCATACCGCTCCTGTACAGGCTTTGTTAAACTGATTTCATTTTTTTGGAGTGATTGTAAATAGTATTGTGTTTTCACTATCAATTTCCATATGTTCATTGTTATAATGTAGAAGTACAGTTTTTGTGTGAAGATCTTACATCCTTTGATCTTATTGAATTGAGTTCTAAGAAGTATTTGTGTTCTGTTTTGTTTTTTAGATTTCTTGGGATTTTCTACACAATCATTTGATCCACAAATAGGGGTAGACTTGTCTCTTTCTTTCCAATATATATGCCTCTTATTTCTTTTTCTGGCCTTATTGTGCTACTTAGAACTCAAGTGCTTGTTGAATACAGGTGGCGAGAGAACACATTTTGCCATTACTGATATTAGGGGGAAAGAAAATTAAAATTATTTGTTCTGTGAAAGACCCTTGGAAGAATATGAAAATACAAGTTGCAGACTTGGAGGAAATGTAAGATGTATATCCAACAAAGGTCTTACATCTAGAATATATAAAGAGCCCTTGAAACATGACTGTAAAAAACAAATCAATCCAAAGTGGGTAAAATACATGAAGAGATATTTCATCAAAGAGGATATATAGATGACAAATAAGCAAATGAAAAGATGCTCAGCCTCAGTAGCCTTTAGGAAAATGAAATTAAAACCATGATGAAATATCCCTGGACATCTATCAGAAAGGCTAATATAAAAAATACCTTCAACAAATGCTGTTGAAGATTAAAAAAACTGGATTAATCATACGTAACTTGTGGGAATGTAAAATGGTATACCCCTCGGGAAAATAGTGCTACAATTTCTGTAAAAAAGAAAAACTAAACTTAACCATATAACCTCAACAATAGCTCTCTTGGGTATTTATCCCAGAGAAATGAAAACATATTCACACAAAAACCTGTACACAAATGTTCACAGCAGAGCTATTCATAACAGCCAAAAACTGAAAACAAACTAGATGTCTTTCAACAAGTTGATGGTTAAAAAACTGGTACATTTCCAGACCATAGAATACTATTTAGCAATAAGAGGAAAAGGACTATTAATATACACAACAATTTTGATGTGTCTCAAGCAATTATGCTGAATGAAAAAAAATCAATTTCACAAGGTTAGATAGTACATTATTGCAGTCATATAATCTTCTTGAAATAAACTATAGATAAAGAACAGATTACTGTTGGCAAGGGTTAGGGATTGTGGTAGGTGAGTGCTCTAACAGATAGCATAAGGAAGTCTTATGGTATAACAGTTAGGCATCTTGATTGTGGTTGCAGTTACAAGAATTTTATGTACAATAGCATTGCACAGAACCACACACACATGCAAACGCACACACTCACAAATGATTGCATATAAAACGAAAAATCTGCATAAGCATTGTGGATTGTACCAATGTCAATTTCCTGGTTTTGATGTTATACTATAGCTATCTTGGATGGTATAATATGGGGAAGCTGGGTGAAATACACAGAATTTCTCTTTAAATTTTTTTTTTTTTGCAATTTATCGTGCAATTCAATATAAAGTTTTTAAAAGCTAAATTAAAAATTTAAATTGTTATAAAAATGACAAGTTATAAAAATAAAGGAATGCATAAAATTTTCTCTGAATTTTTATATGCTTTTGGGTTATGGTTGACAAATCTTAAAATTTTCAGATGTCAGCATAGTCTTGCTGCACGTAACCGGTCCTCAGCTTGAACCACATTTGACTCTCCAGGCCAGCTCAGCAACACCCTAGCTGGTCTGTGTACTGTTCCACTGATGACACCTCTTGATGCTGCACCAGTGTCAGATTGCCTTGAGAGTTTCTAAAACTTACTATACTCGTTTCTGGGCTCATTGCATTGTGGACCAGCAACAGCTTTTTGCAGACCTGCCTTCTAGCTCAGAAACTACACTGGGAAGAGCAGATCTCTGCACACGTGCAGAGTCTGGTGTTGGGCCAAATGTTGCTGAGGGTCTCCGTTTAAGTTGAGAGGGCTCTTTTTATGAAAAACAGCTGTACTACTATTGTGGCCAGAAAAAGTCTTCGATGCTTCAGACTTTTCCAGAATTATAATGCCGCTTTAAGTTCTCCCTTTGGAGAACAGAAAAGTATACACAGGGGAAAATTTGTTTTTATTTCTTTTGGAGAGCATTTTTTGTTATAAATGATTGCTTCCTGCTTTTTCCTGGAAACCCATTTAAACAAGCCTTCCTTATCCATTACGCTAGGTTAAAAATAGTACATTTTTTATGACTGAAAATGAGAACTTTCTGATTAAATCTTGACATCTCCTTTACTGGAAAGCAGTATGGAATACTCATTTGGCAATCTGTACATTTATGTTTTTCCCCTATATGGATAATATAAAATTACTGTCATCCCATTGCAGTTCAACATCAGAAATATAGTGGCCCAAATGAGAGAACAGCGTTGTGGCATGGTTCAAACAAAGGTAAGCTCTCACCTCATAAATTCTAATTTGAAGAATAATGAATATAAAGGTTAACACTGTATATAGCACATTAAAATTTATAGAGCTCTTTTACCTACATGACTTCATTGAATTTTCATTTTAGAGATAGACATTAGTTTTGCTCTGATATCACTGATGTTGAACTTTAGGTTCAGAGCAATGCAGTCTGTTCCATAAGGTTGTTCAGATAGCAAGTGGAGGAGCCAAGACTAAGGCTGAAGTTTCCTGATGCACAAGACAAGCTTTGTCCATAATCCTGTGTTATTTTAGCATACTTTAACTTATTTTTCATAAATTTATGGATAGCAATTTTGGGATATTTACTTGCCACTGAAGTGTTAAAGTCATTGGCAGGTCATAAAATGATATCATTTGTCACAGGTTAATTATTAATCTTTGGGGGTTTAAGAGAATATGGATAATGAAAAAAATAGGTACCCTTAAATCTTTAGGTTGACCTCTTTTTAAGCCAATGTTGAATAATATAAAGCATTTTATGTGAACTAGTGTCTGAGAGACCTGAGGCTATATCTAAAAAAAAGTTTAAAATTAAATTTATTCATGGAAAATATAAGAAGATTGAGGGTGAAAGTCAGTTTCCCCTCTATTCAGTTTATCCTTTAGTTCTAGAGCAAGAACTACATTGTGATCATTTATCTTCCTGATATTTTAAACATATATTTATATAAAGAAGTTCTTAGTTAAATGTTAGCTTTTTTAGGAACTTTTCTTTTGTGGTTGGAAATTACAAATGTGTTCTCTGAAAGTGGATATTGGTATTCAGTTACTTAACATTCTGTTGTTTTTCATATATGTACATAGGAGCAGTATTACTTTTGTTATAAAATTGTGCTTGAAGTTCTTCAGAAGCTTGTGACTTTCCATTAAGAAAGACTTTTGTTACCTCACACTTGAAATTACCAAGTGGCTTGGAGCTTCCTCATAAACAACACCTTCAAGCTGCACTGAAGGGCTTTGCTTATGCCTATAATGTACTTTCTTGGCGTGCCTTTTAATTTTATTTCTGACAGCTCCCTGAAGGCAGCATCATTTGGTTGGGAGTAAACAGTGTTTATCCACTGATTTTACTTAGATAATATCAAAATACCTTCCCACGTTTTCCAGTGAAATAGAAGTTACTTACAACAACTGGTTAGAGAGATTATAGAGCCCAAAAAAGGACTTAAACTATATTCATTAATATTTTATTTGGAAAGACAGCTAGAGGGAGCTCTTTATAAAGTCCTGATTCTGGCAGTATATAGGACCAATAAACTGCAAGATCACATTATGACTTCTTACAGGCATTTTCAAGACAGATACTTGTTTATGTATGTTTTTAGCTACAATCTGTACTTTTAAATGGTATTTGAATAACTCAGCTCAATAAAGAGCCCTATTAGGATGCTTTTTCTTGTTATGCAAACTGAATTTCATTTTTCTATACTTCCATGCTCCCATGGGGCCCACAGACCTCAGAGGATGAGTTGCTTTTACACAACCACTAGACAAGAACTTGTTCGTCTGGGAAGCATTTTATGGATGGGTAGAGTTCCTCATCTCTATCACATGAGCACACTGGTAAACAGTCCAAAATTAAAATAGATGTTTACATAGAAGGTCCAAGAGGAAATTTTTGCCTTGCTCAAGTTCTTCCCTATCCCACCCTAACACTTGAACATATTACTCAGTCTGCTTTGTTGAAAGCAAGTATTACATTCTACTTGCCTCTTACATTTTGCCCTTTAGCTAACCATTACACTTTGATATAAGCATTATCATGTAATTCTGAATATCTCTTATGCCAGGTATATTTTTCAAACTAAGATCTATGATAGTTACTTTTTCCTTCAGAGTTACATTAAATAACTTATTTTCATTACCCTCCACCTCTGCTGTAACATTTAGAAGTTGGCTTTGGGAACCAAATTCATAGTTTTGAAAACAAAAACTTCCATATTCTGTTTTTGGAAAAGATTGTGGCCATTATTACATTCATCTTATTTTAGAACTTTGCCTCATACAATTACAGTGATATTTTTATCAAGGAATTTTAGTGACCAGTTAGACTTGATTATAAATTATAAAGCAATTGATTCAGTTTATTGTAGAGTGTAATTCAGTGCATATCAGAATATTCTATGTATTATATTGAGGGAATTTCTAATATTAAGCTGTAAATCTTTAATTTTTAAGAGGCTTACATTGTTCCCATGGCTGAATGGAAAATTGAATTAGATGAATTAAAATAGATGAACTTCATTTTAAAAATAATTATATGTCGGAAGTGTATTTTATATTAAATAAAATTAATGATTCTACCTATTTACATTGGTCATATGAACAATATTCTATGCTAACCATTAATTTAAATTTGGTAATTCGCCATTAATATTAGTATTCCTAATTTTTTTCTCTGTTTTTATAAAATAATAGATATAATGTACAACAGTATTCCTGAGGATTTCATATTATAATTTAAATGAAAATATTTACTATGTATTGCCTATTTGATTTTATTATCTAGCCCTTAAAATATTCTGGTAGTGAAAAATTCCACAATTTTTGATGGTAAACATGTCTCTTCTTTAATGTGTGCCTCATATTTTTATAGCTGGACAAATTTTTAGTATTTCAGGGAAATTAAATAAGTAAATATGGAAATACTGATTGCATTTGTTTTTATTTTATTTTTGGAAAGTGAACTTCCAGTTGGAAACTTTTGAGTAATTGAAATACTAAGTTTCATACAAACAATAAATCAATTTTTGCCTAGGATATGAATATGAAACTCCTATTGACACTTTTGTGAGTATATGAATGCTTATTAAGGGGAAATTTTAAAAATATTTAAATATAAACATATGCATTTATTACCTTTGAACTTTAATACATATTTTAAAAGTTGTATGTGCTTGATGGACTCACGTGTTGGATCAAAGCTTTCAGAAATAAACATTGTTAAGTTTTATCCTCATTTAAGTCTTAGTAATTTTTTTGGACTTCTAACCCACAATTTGTCTAGAACATTATTGAACCTCAATTAAGTTTACATTTATTATTCAAAGGTCAGTTCAGTGATTTTTTTATTGAAAAATCTCAAAGGAAAGCAACTCTAACACAAAAAAGTTTAATTTCCTACTTAATTTTCCTTAATCTCTTGGAAGAATTAATTTTCTCCTATAGTGTCCAGAGGTTCAAGTAGTTGAATCAGAAGATCTGGAAGGTATCCATTAAGTAAAAACAGGTCAGTAGTTTTCAGTGGGCAGTGATGGATTGCTCAGTGGAGTAGTGAGTACTCAATTTCTTTATAGTTATAATCAAAAAGCAGTATGACCTCAGAGTAAAACAATTGGAATTAGAAGGGATCTTAGAAGAGACCTAATGCAGCTATATGTGAAACTTGAATGTGATAAAGAATATTTTTTAGAAACTGATAGCAACATCATATTTGGAGGTAAAAAAAAGAGTCTTCCTGTTAATAAAACAGCAATACCTCCTGTTAGCTATTGAGTATTGCTTAGAGTTATGTAGCCAAATGCATTGAGACTGTAAGTAGGAATAGTTGGTATAAATATTGAAAAGTTAGAAAAAAATGATCTTTGGTTTATATATTTGCCTGCATAGAAATAATAGATGGAACGAAAATATTATATTGGGTTAGACAAAGCCATTTTACAGAAAAAACAAACAAACTTTTTGGCCTACTCAATATTAGTAAATTCATTACAAAGTCCAGACATGAGATAACTGTGTAAAAAGTAATCTTTCTCTATAACTATAGCCCACAGGCCAAACCTTATCTGTTGTCTATTTTTGTAAATAAAGTTTTGTGCCTATTTGTTTATATATTTTCAATGGCTGCTCTTGTGCTACAATGGCAATGACCAAGTTAGTAGTGGTGGAGATCATATGGCCCATAGAGCCTAAAATATTTACCACCTGGCCCTTTAAAGAAAAGTCTGTTGATTCCTGTCCTATATCTTCAATAGGAAAAATATCTCTTAGCAGCAAGAAAATATAAAGTATATATTTTATAAAATATAAAAATACTTAAGATTAATCTCAACAAGAACTTGACTAGTTGATACTCACATTCTAAATGACAGAATATGCATGAAAAGAACCAATATATGTTTGAAAAAGAAAAGTTGTGGGGAAGGAGAGGATTTACTTTAATGACAATCAAAGTATTGTCTAAAGTCATAGTAATTAAAATAATGTAGTACATAAAATAGAACAATGGAACAAAAGAGTCAAGAAATATACAACTGATTCACGTATATTTGTGAATTTATTATATGCTAAAGCTAGCATTTCAATTCTAGAGCTTAAAAATAAATGAAGCACAAACTGACAGAACTGATAAAACTGGGAAAACAGATCACCATTCCTTTCTTAGTAATCCATAGAATAACTAGACAGAAAAATGAACTAGCTGACCTATTTGACATTTTATTTTATTTTTATTTTTTTCTATGTTGACACATAATCTTCATAACTTAATTTAAAAGGTACACAATAGTTTATTGAACAGGAATTTAATAATTTATTCTTATGGGGCATGAAGATTGCTTCCAAATTTTACCCCTACCAATACCATAGCAATGAATATTGTGTATATGGATTTTTTTCATACTCTAACTTAATTTCTTAGGTTAATTAACCCCAATTGAATTTTTACATTAGAATATGGACATTTTTATGGCTTCTGAGTCATGTTGTCAAACTATATACACTTCACCATTATTTTAAACACTGCTTACCCTCTCCTTCAATCTTCTCTTCAAAGTCAGTACTAGTGTACAGACTGGGAAATATAATCAATAATATTGTAATAATTATGTATGCTGCCAGGTGGGTACTTAAAATATCAGGGGGAACACTTTGTAAAGAGTGTAATTGTTTAACCATTATGCTGTATACCTGAAACTAAATAATATTGATTATAAATTATAATTAAAAAATAAAATTTTAAACGAAAAAAATTAGTAGTGGTATAGAACAAGTAATGAAATAAAGTTCATACGGTTGGACCAGATAGACTGTATGTGCAGACCTGCAAGATCCAGCTGTGGTTTTTCTTTTATGTAAGCATATCTTAACAGTTCACATGAACAGATTAAAATTTTCAAATAAAATTACGAAGTTTACATTAGTATTATATTACTGCCTCTTAAGTGAAACTATCGATGATGAAGTCTATTTTTCTTGGTCATTTATTTTTTTCCTTCTAGGACCCTCTATGGGCCCCTAATCTATGGGCCTGTGTTAGTGGTCCTCAGTTATGCTGGCCAAGAAAAAAGACCTAAGGTAGCAACAAGAAAATATAAATGTCCTTTTCTCTAAGGATGTTCTAGAATCATCTGCATCTGTGAGTGAAAACATTGCTGCATTGGGAGGGAGGTAAGTGACATCAAACAACCACCCCACCAAGATCCCTTCCAAGGGCCTAAATTGCTCCTCTAATCCAAAATCTCTCAAAGCTTTGCAATAGTGCACAGGGGTCCCATGATGGCAACATTTACTGTGGACCAATCTGAACTTTGTATCAAGCACTGCATATGAGAAAGGAATGTTTTTAAAACAGCATTCAATTAAAGAGATGTCCAAATAGTAACAATAAGCTAGAGTGACAATCTGAGTAAGGATAGGCTAGTTTTCTATCTCATATAACAACTATTATAAATGCAGTACCTAATTCAGTACCTTGAAAAGTAGTTTCTCAAAGAAGAAAGTGGATCACTGATTTGGAGAGAGGAGAATTGGGGTTATGCAGGCAAGAGTGTTTTGGAGAGGGCTAGGGAATAATTATAGAAACATGACATTTAGTAGTATTTTTAACCAAACTATTGACATTTAAAAATATCAACTCTTGTGAAACACAG